AGTGTCACTGCATTCCTCCACTTCTCAGTCCTAGTTTAGGAGTAATATTTCTCAATTAGACTTACTTCCCAGTCCTAGTTTAGGAGTAATATTTCTCAATTAGACTTTTACGTTGGACATATTTACTTTAACTATGTTTCTTTTAATTTAAGGAGCTTTTATTTCAATATAGTTTTAATATTAGTTTTATGATCAATGGTGAATATTTTTGTTATTACCTCTGATTGTTTTTATTTTTATGTTATTACGTTGATTGTTTTATTATGTTATTTCAAATTCGTATTACGTCAATCTAAAACAAATACGAATATAAACGTCATCAAACATTTGTTATTAGTGACAAAAAAGTTCACTTTTATATAGTTTTTAGGAATATCACATTTTCGTTATTATACAAATTAAGTTCGTCATAAATTCACTATATTTAGTGACAAAATAATTTATGTCCCAAAATCATCTTTTTATTGACTACGAATCAATTTTGTATTATTTGACAATTGTAATTGTCACTAATTATGATAACTTATAGTGACAACTTTGTTTTGTCGATAAAAATATTCTTTTTAGTGACAAGATGGTAGTTTTAACTATAAAATTATAATTGTCACTAATTATATATTTAGGGACGAAATACTTTTTTGTAGATAAAAGGTAGTCTTTAATGACAAAATTACGGTTTTCAACTACGAAATACACATAGCTTTAGAGACATTTAACGTCGTCACTAATTAAACTAAATTTTAGAGACGAGGCAGTTTCGTCGACATTAATGCACTTTTTAGTGATGAAATCATACTATTAAGTACGATTTTTTTGTACTTTTTATGACAAATAAATCCGTCATAAATATTGCGTATTTAGGGACGAAAAAGAATTTCGTATTTAATACTTCATTATTTGGCGACGAAACACAAAGTTGCCTTTATATGTTATTAGTGACAGTGTTTTAGAGACGAAAGATTGACAAAAAAAATTCGTCATAAAAAATCTTTGGTGACGAAAAGTGAATCATAGGTGACAAAATAATTCATCATTGATAATCAAATTTGTTGTAGTGTCTATTTATAGAAAATGGGTTTCATAGGACCTGATGGTAAACAACCCCTACTTCCAACCGAGAGGTTGTGAGTTCGAGTCTCCCCAAGAGCAAGGTGGGAAGTTCTTGGAGGGAAGGATGCCGGGGGTCTATTTGGATACAGTCTCTCTACCCTAGGGTAGGGGTGAGGTCTGCGTACACACTACCCTCCCCAGACCCCACTAAGTGGGATTATACTGGGTTGTTGTTGTTGGGTTTCGTAGGACCTGAGCGTAGCTACGCATCTAAAGTCCCTTTTGTTTTCCCTCTGTTACTGGTTACGCATGCTAGCATAGCTACGCAACCTAGTTACGTCTGGCTACGTAGCTACACTCCCTAGCTACGTCTGGCTACGTAGCTACGCTCCCTAACTACGCACAGCTGAAGCTTCTCCTTCTCATCTTTTCTTCTTCCTGGTTTTAGCTACGCATGCCAGCGTAGCTATGCATCCTAGCTACGTTGGCTACAAAAATTCTTTTCCTCCTTTCTTGCTATACCCTCCAAGTCATGCATTTAGCCACTCAACCTAAGGACCCCCAACCCTTATGACCTTATGTTTAAGTATCCCAACGACCCTGCTACCCTCGGATGGGTCCGTACGTACTTTGAGGTCTCGCTAAGTATTCTCTTAAGCTCGAATTAGGCGTAATCTTGTTAGAAAAATTTCTGGCGCTTTAGACGCATGACCCAATCGTAGGGGTTAATTAGGTGTTATCATGAGTTGGTCACGTGGTCGTGTCCAACGTCACATTGGAATGTTCATGCCCATGTTTAGATATGCATGAAGTCAAGAATAATCATAGTAATTTATGAGATTTTAACGATATTTTTTGGTGTTCGTGGTTAATCTTTTTTTCTATAATTTCTATTAAATTTAATAGTTAGAACTTGTTAAATATTTGACAGAGGCAAAGATGCCAATTTTTAACAATTTTAAGATAAAAATTGCTCAATAATTTGTCTAAGGGACTGTTTCAAACCTAACCTCAAACTTAAATGACTACTTTTATATTTTCCCTTTCAAACCACCATTAGCAGTTAGACGTGTCGTTCAATGGAAGCAGTTGTATCACATTGCAATTTACAGTTTCCTTTCACTAGTCACGGTTGAAATGTTATTGAAACATTCATGAAGCACTCTGCTCCTTCCCTCCACCTCCTTGCAGCCGCTGCTTTCACCGACGCCGCCACCGCCAACGCCGCCATGTCCTCTGCTCAACCAGTAAGAATTCTCCCCCCGAATGCAAATCTCACATTAACGTCCATTTCTAACCTATTAACAAAACTCTCCTGACCCGTTACAGTTCCGAGGTGGCCGGAGCCGCGGCCGGAGAAACTTTTCCGACCGTCCTTCCGGCGAACAAAGTGAGCAAAACATTGCAACTGGAGACTCTCACTTCCATTCTGTTCGTGAAACCAATAGAAATCTCCGCCCTTCCCCAAATTTTCGACCTTTCCGACCTTGGGAACCAACGCCGAGTTTTCATCCTAATCAACAGACTTATGGACAATTGCCGCCTCCTCAACCGCGTCAGCCTTTTCTTCACAATCAGCAATCTTATAGAGCAATGCCGCCACCAGCCGGACTTTATCAAAATCAGCAGTTCAATAGAGCAGTGCTGCCACCGCCACGAGGACCACAATATTTCCGGAATCAGCAGTTTAATAGACCGAACTTTTATGAGAATCAGCAGTTTAATAGACCGAACTTTTATGAGAATCAGCAGTTCAGTAGACCGAATTTTTATGAGAATCAGCAGTTTAGGCCGCGGCCATCCCCTCCCAAGGCATTGAACTTTCGGAATTGGGAGTATGCTAGAACTGGACCTCCGCCTCATTGCGGTAAATTTGTATATTTCTTCAATGTTACGTTTACTTGAATTCAGGTACATCAACTGTTAAGATGGTTGTGGTAGTTTGATAACCAGTTAAAAGCTAGTCAATTCACGATGAATCCTCGTGCTTGAGATTGAGACCTAGTTGCAGTTGTGTTTTTTTGTTGCATAGATGGAAGGACATACATGAAGTTAAAGAATCCATGGAACTGACTTGATATTATTCGAAAATTGTAGTATGTTTGTATTATGAGTTTGTCATAAGATGTGGTCTACTTGGAAATTCTTTTCTTTGGTTTATTGGGTAACAGTGTGTGGTGAGAAATGTGATGTAGAATAGAAGAGGATACCTCTTTGTGTTCAAGGTTGATTATTCTTTAAAATTAAACAAAATAGGACGTAATTGTTTCATACAACGTGTTGATATGCAAATGGAATGGAGAAGAGTTTCACTTTCGCTAACCAATATGATACTTCCATTTCAGTTAAGGCAAACACATTTAATTGCTAAAATTGAACATAGTCTTGTAGAAGAGCATGGAGACAACCTAAGTTGCTCCGATATGGCAATTTAGGTGCCGCACCCTTGTCGACACGACACTAGGGTGGGTGGTGACTACGACGGACGGAAAAATTCGAGATGAGATACAATTTGATTCCCGAAATTAGAACCAAAACTAGGGTAAATTTGAAGAATATAACATAGCTTATCTAGGAAATCACTCATTTACTTATCTACAACTTGAGAATAAAAAAGAAATCCAAACTTTACAAGCTATACTTAAGTATTCTACAAAACTTCTCATAATTTAGAGATATTTTTATATATTTTTTTTGAATTACTCTTAGCCGGATATCCGTATCCGTATTCATACTAGGATTCATATCCCCGAATCTTAGAATTTACATCTCGAAGGATCCGACCTCTAGATACGCACCCGCGTCGACACCCGCACCTGTGTCCGAGCAACTTAGGAGACAACTAGAGGTAAAAAAGAAAGAGAAGAAGAGGAAGCATGTCCAATTGGTGCATCCAAAAAAAGATGTGCACTTCTTTAAATTACCTAGCTTTGATGTACTATCCTAGATTTGGCATCGAGACTTTGTTAAGGAATAATTGATTAATAAGGAGGTAAACTAAATGCTTCCTGTCGTAGCAGTGTTGTGAAGCGAGGAAAAGCGACAACCCCCATTTCGCTTAAAGCGAGAAGCGAAGCGCTCACTTTTTTGAAGTGAAGAGGAATTTAAAAAAAAATTAAAATAAATATTGCATAGACAACACATGTAATTGTAAGCAAATATTCAATACTTCAATGTAAAAACTAAAGAGTAGCATCAATTAAAGCATAAAACGAGCATCCTATTCTTCTACAAGATTGTCAAATTCTTATATTCCACTATCATTATTATATTGCTCGTTATCTTCTTCAACTTCTTCTTCTTCTTCTTTATCAACTAGGGTCAAAGTATATAAAAATTAGAGGAAGGCCAGTAATTCTCAGTTAAAAACTGGGCAGAGAAAGAAGAACCCAAGGATTGGCATCAATTCTGAGAAAGAACCGATGCTAAAAAAAAATCCACCAGCATTTCGCTGCTTTTTGGATGTTTAAACAGTGAAAGAAAAAGAAAAAGAAGAAGAAGAAGGAGGAGGAAAAGCAGAACATACCTCTTGAAGTCTTGAAGTACTTGAAGTTGAAGAAGAAGAAGAACCCTAGTTGATGCTTTCAGATTCTTTCAGAAATCAGAAGTAGATGAAGAAGAAGAAGTCGACTAGACCAGTCGCTGCTGTTGGAAGAACCCTAGTCGCTGCTCTTTTTAATAAAATCGCGTCCAGACCAGTGTTTTTAATCACAAAATCGCGTTTTTAATAAAATAGGGTTGGGACTCTCTTTTAAAACAGAGAAGCAGGCGCTTCTACCGCTTCGCTTCATTTTCCCGCTTCTCGCTTTTTACTGGGAAGCGATCGCTTTTTCTGAGCTGAGTCGCTTCACCCTGCTGAAGCGTTCCCCTTCACGCTTCGCCTCGCTTCTCACTTAAAGCGATGAAGCGGGTGCTTTTTTAAACATTGTGTCGTAGAGATAGGTTAGGTGCATGTCATGCATTCAAACCCGGTCTCAAACAAAAGCTTGATATTTAAGTTGAGAAGGGTAGAGGGGCGTGCCATTATCTGCCGAGATTTGAATCGTATTTTTTAGTTATAAAAAAGGAAGAAAACAACAGGAGGAATCTGAAAGTAGAGGGTCTTGGTTATCATTTTGGGAAGGAAAAGCACCACTAAAAGTATGCCTTGGCTGTATAGCTCAAGATGATGCTTTCTTGACACGAGAAATTAAGAAAATGTTAATATTTGCAATATATGCTATATGTATTGCGCATATATAGAAGACTCAAAACACTTATTTATACATTGTACAACAGCAAGAGAAGGTTGTAATATGTTTTTAAGCCTTAGGAGATCAAATAAGTCATGCTACACAACTTAAAAGGAAGCTGTGATAAGTAGCCACTTGGTGAAAACAAAAAAAATAGTGTTTTAGAAAATATGGATCACTATACAATGGTGCATTTGCCGAAGTATTTGAAGAGAAAAGAACCAAGACATGCTTGGGAGAAAGGGCTCCTCTCATACAATTTTCCATAGCTAATTGTATAAATCTTTTAGCTTATTCGTGTAGATGTGATGCAGATTAAGGTAGCCATCAAGGACTTTGGTGCATTCTTTCGACTAGCAAGAGTTGAAACACTTAGAGGAGGCGTGGAAAGAAGATCTCAAGGCTTTAAGTATGCTTAAATGGAAGTTTAAAGGAAGAAAGGGTACAAGATCAATTGAAGGTTCCTTTGTAATATGGGTATCTTAGTAATTTGACCATTTAGCTCTTTAAGACTAGCTTAGGTTTTCATTTCTTAGCCTAAATACCAACCCTAGTATAAATACTTTATTCTTTAGGGAATCTAGCTTAGAATTATGAAGATGAAACTCTTTGTGAGTTGTGGATTTTTTCCTTGTCTCTACAATGAACCTCTCTTTGGTTACATCATGAGAACTAGTTCATTTATGAGTTAATTTCTATTTCTCCCTTTGGATTTGGTTTTGTAATTGACGGTAATTAGTTTATTTTAAGTATCTTTTATTGTTCTTGGGTTTTACCTATTGCGTTCCTTACTTAGTTTGATCCTTTATTCTTCTATCCTTGAACTAGTGATTTATAGTTGAATTACAAAGTGGGTTAACTAATTCATAATTGATTTCTTGTAATTCCTTAATTTTTTTTTGATAACCATAATATTCAGGCCGAGGAATTAGAGAATTAGGGTAGGGGTAAGGTATGCCTACACATTACCCTCCCCAGACCCCGCTTGTGAGATTCCACTGGGTTGTTGTTGTTGTTATAGTACTCGGGCTAGTTTGCGTGCACCTTGACGAGTAACACTAATTCTCTAATTCCTCTATCTTTACTTTATTACTTACTCCCTCTGTTTCATATTAGATGATGTACTTTCCTTTTTAGTCTGTTCCAAAACAAATGATACATTTCTAATTTTGGAAATAATTCAACTTTAAACTCTTCATTTTACTCATTTACCCTTAATGAGAAGCTTTTATAGCCACACAAATGTCATGGCCCCACAAACCTTTTACCCCTTAAGCTTTTAAGACCACAAGTTTCTAAAGTCTTTTCTTTTTTCTTAAATTCCGTGCCGAGTCAAACTACCTCATCTAATATGAAACAGAGGAAGTATTCTCCTTTTTGTTCTAGGTATTCTTGTTGAAGAAGTCATCTTCAATTCCCTAGAATCTACTGGGTCCGATCTACATCAAGGTGGAATATACTAAATGATGAGGAAGATGCTATGAATTTTATCTGTTTCCTTACCTGCTGACGTGTAAAATGGAAGTTGGATTGCTTCCGCTGTAGATAGAGCTTCTGCTTGATGCTATTTTTCCTTGTCACAATAACATACCTAGTGAAATCCCACAAGTGAGGTCTGGAGAGGATAATGTTTACGCATCTCTTACCCCGCTTTTGTGAAGGTAGAGAGGCTGTTTCCAATAGACCCTCGGCTCAAGTAAAGAATAATCCCAGCATTCATGAAAAAGAGATACTGTAGTGAAGAAGCCATGAAAAAGAAGCAGTAACAATAGCATGAACATAAGACAACCGAAGCAAAAACATGTAGTAATAGAAATGAGAGAATAAGAAAATACGAGAGTAATATTAATACTATTTGTATGGAGAAGGAAAACGCGGGACTACCTGCTAACCTACTACCTTAATCCTCGACCTCCACACCCTTCTATCAAGGGTTATGTCCTCAGTAAGCTGCAAATATACCATGTCTTGCCTAATCACCTCTCCCCAATACTTCTTTGGCTTACCTCTGCCTCTCATTAGACCCACCCTTGCCAACCTCTCACATCTCCTCACTAGGGCTTCTGTGCATCTCCTCTTGACATGTCCGAACCACCTCAACCTCGCTTTACATATCTTGTTCACCAAAGAGGCCATTCCTACCTTATTCCGAATATCTTCATTTCTAATCATATCTCTTCTAGTATGACCACACATACATCTGAGCATCCTTGTCTCCGCTACTTCATCTTCCGGACATGAGAGTTTTTGACTGGCCAACACTCCCCCATTACAACATAGTTGGTTGAACCACTACTCTGTAGAATTTACTTTTAACTCTTGGAGGCACATTCTTATCATACAAGACCCCGGACGCAAGCCTCCACTTCATCTACTCCGCTCCAATGCGATGTGTGACATCATCGTCAATCTCCCCAGTACCTTGGATTATAGACCTAAGATACGTGAAACTTCCTCTCTTGGGGATGGCTTGTGTATCAAGCCTCACTTCCATGTCATCCTGATGAGCTACGTCACTGAACTTGCATTCCAAGTATTCTATTTTTGTCTTGCTCAACCGGAAACTTTTAGACTCTAGGATTTGTCTCCAAACCTCCATCCTATAGTTAACACCACCTTTCGTCTCGTCAATAAGTACTACACGGTTTGCAAATAGCATGCACCATGGCATCTCCCCTTTAATGTTCCTTGTCAATTCATCCATCAGCAAAGCAAATAAAAACGGACTGAGAGCTGATCCCTAGTGTAACCCTATCACCAATGGGAAGCAGTGTTTTGAATAGCGTGAGGCGACAAATAGCGATGAGGGCCCGCTTCACTGAGGCGAGAAGCGAGAAGCGAAGTGCTCGCCTTTTTGATGTGAAGCGATAATTTATTAAAAAAAATAAAATATTAACTTTGCATGTGTGCGTGTATATAATTAATAGCAATAGTATATTACTCCCTCAGTTTCAATTTATGTGAACCTATTTGACTGGGCATGAAGTTAAGAAAAGAGAGAAGACTTTTGAACTTGTGGTGTAAAATGAGGCACATATATTTTGTGTGGCTATAAATCATTGTATAAAGGTAAATTGTTTCCAAATAGGGAAAGAAGTCATTCATTCTGGCACAGACTAAAAAGAAAATAGATTCACATAAAGTGAAACAGTCAAACGAAGGGAGTAATAAATATATCAATTAAAAACTCAGGTTTGAAGAAGCTATCTGCCTCTGCCCATGAAGGAATTGAAAAACAGAACAAAAAAAAAAAAGAAGAAAAAGAAAGGAAGGAGGAAAGAAAGAATGAAAGAAAGAAAAAGCTCTCTGCTGCTCGATCAAAAACAACATAGCAAAAAAGAAAAAGAAGAAGAGAAGAAGAAAAATGAAGAAAGAAGAAAGAAGAAAGAAAAAAATGGCAGAAACTCGAAGAAGAAAGAAGAAAAGAGATGAAGAGAAGCATAGCTGATAAAGAAGCTTGAAGAAGAAAGAAGAATCGCTAATGTGACTAGGTCGACTTGAAGGAGAAAGAAGAAGAAATCACTACAACAACAACAACAACAACCCAGTATAATCCCACACGTGGGGTCTGGGGAGGGTAATATG